CCGACCTTCTATCAAAGGACAAGTGTACTGCGTTGCAGTTCAATCTCTCCTGTTATTCATCAGGTATCACACTAAGTCTCGACCGTCTGGAAGAAACTATTGGGTACACAGACAACTCAGAATTTCATTTAGTGACAAGCCTCCACGAGAAACAAGGGTGAAAATAGGGATAAAATCAAAAAGCAGCGTAGATCATCAGTAAAAATAATGAGGACACAGCGTTCAAGAAAAACGTCTGGCTAACACTTCAGTAGAGATAGAAAACCGTCTTCAAGTCAAAATATTCAGCAAATGTAAAACATGTTGAGGTGTACTCGTGATGTAGAACTTGATTGACGGTTAGGTCTCAACCAACTCGGCGTTCTCAGGTTCCCATATTACAGTAATCCAAACTAAGGTTATTTCCACTTCTCATGCGCGCTTTCGTCTCGCATTCAGAAGCTGTCACGATGACTGATTGATACATAACATAGAGAAAATACATCTCAATCCCATACACTCCCAAAACACAAAAGTCATCTCAAAAAATCTACTAAAAAATTCACACAATATCCACCTAACCGGCTAACACCTAGAAGAGCTGTCGAAATTCAAAAAACTGCCAGCAGACTACGCACATCACCACGTCACGAAATAAACTACTCCTAACCTTTCACTTAAAAGAAGTTTGATAGCACAGTTCTTCTTTAGGGTTGATGTAATAACCGAAATCAGTGGTTGGAGGTTGTAGATAGTGTGACTGAGACTTGATCTGAATGGAGCAGATGCATGCACACATTGTCGTCATTTGGGTCGTTATACTGGTCTTCATTGTTGTTTGATTGCTTCTTGTTCTTGTGTGGTGATATTCCTCTACTTTGACTAGTGTCTGCCTTATCTCTATAGGTTCTTTAACTTGATGTGCTTATCTGATGAGGTGTTTGAGATAGGAGTTTGAGGCAGTAATGCGAGGTGGGAGATTCCTCCTGAGAGACTGACTATCTGGCTTTCTTGCTTTGGTCTTGCTGGCTATGTGGCTGGTTGGCTGAGAGGCTGAGAATTGATGTGAGGTGCAGTCAGTTGGTGCATAGTGAGAGATTGCAAAGAGTGGTTGTCGATTCCCACTGTTTGTGTTGGTCATGACTGCCCCGTTGAGTAGTGGGACTGCGCACAGGCGACTGTCACCTGTGATCCAGTCGAGCAGTGCATTTTCTTTCTTATCTCACGTGACTATATGTACAGCCATAAGACGGCGAGAAGTGGTCATCTCATCTGCAGAATGTTGAAGATTGAGTTCCGCCCGTTCAATCCATTAGGCAGGAAGTGAGGTTAAGTGAACGACCGCACTTGGGTCATGTATGCTCGTGTCATCTACACAGCAACAGGTCCATGACTCGAGATGATAGAGTTTTTGTTGTCAGAGTTTGAGGATGTTTGCGGACATTGAAAGGTGGTTAGTGTTGTCTGTGGGGGATTTTGAGGAGAACATGTAAAGGATTGGTGATTTCGGCTGATGATAATTGTCTGGAGGTGTGGACAAACTGTGTAGGGTTATTTGTTTTGTGGTAACTTAAGGAGGGTGAGTGTCTTAGTGAGAGTTGTCTTGATAATGTATGTGAGTTAGTTGAATCATGTGAGTATTTGCGGTAAAGTGTAGTTCCCTAGGGTGTTAGTATGCTGACTGTGTGTGCGCGTGAGTTTCCCTTTATGTGTACGTGTTTGTGTGTATGGTGCGTGCCATTTTCAGCTTGTACGGTTTCGAACCACTGCTTCATCTTTTCGAGGCAGCTACGGGATGAAATTGCAGTTATGTTGGAGACACCTTTGTTGCTTCGCAGCGTCACAGGTGACCAATCGGCCATCCAGCTAGCTTGGATTGTGACATCGGACTGGGAGCTCCAGCATAGTGCACGTCATCGGGATTGCTTCCGTGAGTGGTGTTTGGCTTGACTATTATGTTGCAGAGGTTTATTACATGGTAGGTGCAAAGAGAGCAATGGTTGCAGCCTGATGATTGTTTTGATGTGGTCATCTTGTTGAAGGTTGTTTATTCGTATGTTTTGTTTTGCCTTTTTTGCTTCTGTACTGTTGTCTATTGTTTTTTTGCGAGAATGTCTATTAGAAAATTTATTTGGATTTGCTTTTCTGTCGTGGATTTTGTGTATGATTTGTAATTATGTTAGTAAACTCGCTTTTCATTGTTTCTGATGTTGTATTGTTTTTGAAGCTTTTACACTTTCATATTCTGTACTTAGTAGTTCTTTTTTATTGTTTTTTTGCATTCTGCTTGATATTTTGAGTAGATCGTTTCTGCTTGATCATATACCCGATTGGTAATCTCTTATTCGTCGGTCGCATGTCCTAATCAGAGTTTTGGATTGAAATTTGATTGTGCTGCAGCCGAATGATTAAGGCCACGCTATTTTTATCGTTATTTCCCAGGGGAGTAAGTAACGTGCTCTTCTGAGGTCAACCTGTCCTGTCCCGCTCCATCCCACTAGGGAGTGTTCATCAACGTATTCTCCCGGTTCTTTACTACTGCCAAATCCTTTCTAAGCAGCAGTGCAACGTCGCTACCGGACCCACACCTTGGCATAGTTATTTATCTTCTAACAATCTGACTGACCTTTCTAGTATGATCTGACTCCAGGTCGCAATCGTTCCACTCATCAGATTTCAGTCGGTCATTGAGATGTGTCAGGCTGGCCATCTGTCGATCAGAAGGATTTCTTAATTTAAGGTGATATATATGATACTCCGATCGCACTGTACAATTTGGACCAGTATCTCTATACGTGTAAAACTCTTTTGCTAGATAGCTGGGAGTCTACAACCTGATTCGCCTTAGGAATAGTCAGAAAGTATTGGTATCTGAGCATTTCTTTGCGTGCTAGTGGACATATAGTTGATAAGATTTCTAAGCTTACTTTGAATACTAAAGTAGTGTATTTCAAAATAGGTCACCTCTGGTACTGTTTAACTGCTAGGGTTCGAGCGAACTACTTGTTGGGTTAGTAGTCCTGCTATACTACTGTGAGACTTGCTCTCTGTGAACTGAAGTTTCTTGGTTATTCTATGTGATATATCACCTTTGTTTACGTAGGAATTCTCAAAGCTGGTGGTCAGTGTTTGTATCTCATGTAGCTCTTCGCTCACTAGGTGTATTTCCTGCGAAACACCGGATTCAATGGCATAGACGTGCGGTCTGACATGGCTGACCGTTAGCTAACCCTCAGGTTGGTTGAAAGGGGAGATGCGATCATGCATTATGGTATGAAAGACAGTTGTAGTGGGCAAGCATTTCTTTAGTTTCCTTGTATCTTTTACTTTCGAAAAGCTTTCTGGGTTTATCTTATGCGGTTGTTTCCCCAATGGTTTTGCTATCCTCTATCGCTTTTGTGCCTTGATGATCAGTATTCACAATGTTATATTATTCTGTATGGTGTAAATCCTGGTGCTCATATTGCAGAGTTTGTCTCCGATTTCAAAGCAGTAGATATTTCCACATTTAGTATATATATATATATATATATATATATATATATATATATATATATATATATACACATATATTTCACCCGGTGGTGGCTAGCAGTGGAATATAGGATGCAAGTCTCGTCCCTTTTAGGATTCGTCAGCTGGATGTGTCTGCATCTCAGTGAGTGTTCTCACTGTGACTCAAATTCACTGCCTATCGCTCTAAGTGCCACTAAGGCACGAAATGCGCGTTCTGGATTCCTCTGTTAGTCAACTACCAAGCATGTGATGTTGAAATACCACCAGGTAAGTTCGGTTCCAAAATGCAACCATGAGTTTCCTCTGAAAGCTAAACTATAACATGAAATCACACTTTACAAATAAATTACTAATTTTCAACTTTATCCACCAATGGCGTCATCATGGATTGTGCTGAAATAATTAGTGAAACAATTCGCTCACTGTATCTAGCTTTATTGTGTATTCGTTACTGGCGATTGATCAGTTACTTTTACGAAAATTGTATTCCACATTCTCCACTTTTAAATTAGCTACCCTTGGTCAGAACCATGTTCTATCCTTTAATTTGCACAGGATGGCTGCATATTTAGAGATGAGATCTAACACTGTTTTTTTCGTCACGAAAAGTATAATAAAGTTCACTTTGATTCAAAATCTATCAGTATCAGTTGACCGATTATGGACTCACATTGACTTACGCTCATCAATTAAACGTACTCACCTCTATTTATCTAGTCGATATGATTACTTGGAAACCATCCACACTGAAATCTAGATCCTTTACTTGTTTTAGAGTGATCTGAACATAAAAAAGTCATTTCATCCGTTTAGGACAGAGTTTATCAACGGTTTATTTCTCATAGCTAACATCAACTGACTATGAAGTAACAGTTTTAAACTAAAATGGATAACCTATTTCCTAGCCATTTACAACTTGTATACCAACAGTTCTCACATTTCAATAATTTACCAACCACCTAACTAATTTTAACGTGATTCCCGTAGAAAGTCATCCAACCAAGATCACAAGGTATCATCTCTGAAACAAAGTAAAATATATTTATTGTAAGATCACTCTGGTTCCAGTCGGTTATGATCCTAGAAGTTTCCATTGTTAGTTACTAAAGTACTTAGGCTGTTCAGAAATGTATTTCGTTTGTTCATAACATTTATACGAGAGGTGAGTTTCTCTAAATGGTTTCCAATGGAAATCCTGTTTATGTCCTATTTAACGGCTGTTGATAAACTACTCAACTGTGAGAAGTAACAGCGTTCATGCGATTTACATATCTCTTAGGAATTCCATTCTGTCAAAGCTCCTGTTTAGCTTCATAAAAACTCAGTTATCGATGTTTATTCACACTGCAGTTATGTAATAAAACAAACTAATTTGCACATTGTTATTAGTATACACTATTCCATTCACTATGAAATCTATTGTTCACATTATACCATTAGGCACTACAAGTTAATTTCTTCAATTAATCTTATGAAACATCTTAGATGATAATTTTTTGTTTCAGGTACACCAAAGTCAATCGGGTTGGTCTCCTGTCTTTGTTAGTGAAAATCTTAGCCTCATGTCAATAGGATTTTTACTACCCAACCCTGATCACCCAGTTATATGGCGTGGGCCTCGTAAAAATACGCTTATTCGCCAACTACTCACTGATGTTTCTTGGACTGAAGAGGATGTTGGTCAACTAGATCAAGCTGGCAATCTTGACTTTTTAATCATTGACACCCCTCCAGGAACATCAGATGAGCATCTTTCAGTTGTTCAGTATCTTCAAGCTGCTGAGTGTTTAGATGGAGCAATAATCATTACTACACCACAAGAAGTGGCTCTGTGTGACGTTAGAAAGGTAGGAACTTCATTCATTTTTGTCATGTTTGTTGTTTCACTCACAAGCAACTTTTATTAAAATCCTCTGTCCTGCAAACCCCGCAAGTACTAGATCTTTTGGCATAAAATTGAGAAGGAAAGTGTTCCCATTAATGCACATGTACAATTTTTTGTGTTTGACTTCAAAGTTGATGGTAATTGAGGTTTTCTACCAACAACTCGGAAGGTGAACTGAGAAGCTAGTTTAGTTCCCCTTAATCACTTCAGTGTTATTGGTTATTCATATAGCCAGTAACTCAGATATTTATTCACTAAAATAGCATTTTTTGACATAGCCTATTTTATTGACAGTTGTCACATTTGAGTAGAACGGTTATGTAAATAGGGCTGTCCTAGTTTTCACTTTGTGAAAACGCTCCAATGAAGATTTTTCAACGAATCATTAATCATATCACAAAGAAAAGTTGCTTAATGGGGAAATAAATAAAACTACTACAAAGTAAAAATAGTTACGTCATATGTGATCGATAATTTACGATAGAAAGAGGTTGTACATACTTCTTTTGAACTCAGGATGATGGTTTGAATTTTTAAATTGCTAATGCGCTCGCAAACGCTATCCAACTTGGTTGACAAGAAGAGAACGAAAATGCATCCTCAACTCCTAAAACAGAACACTTAGTAAACTCAGAACATCTGGCTCCTTTTGATAAGTCCTTCAAAATTCTGTATAAAGTACGACCAAGCTACTCGAAAGAAGTGAGGCTAAGACGTCTGGGCATAGCTGAAGCACTAGCGATTCAAAAATCCCAACCATCATTTTACGTTCAAAAGAAGTATGTGCAACCATTGCCATCTTAGATTATCGATCACTCTAAATAACCATTTTGTTGATTACGTAACTTTCCTCTGTGATGCAGTTTATATTAACCTTTGGCCAGGATTTATTCTGGAATTTTCTGCCCTTTTTACTATATATTCACGAATGTACAGCTATGATAATGATTTTGTCGAAAAGAATAATTTTTATTTCGCCGCAATCGTCTGTTTTTATGTTTAAGTGGAATTGTTTCAATATTTGAATAATCAATCATACTACAGTCAACTGTGTTGAAGTAGAAAGCAGTTCTACAGCTATTTTTCCACCGGTTTAACCGTCCATGTGGCCATTTTACCAATTGGATGTCAGTTACACTTTACACACGAAATTTTGCGTCGATTTGTCGTATAAGCGAGGAATACTTTAACATATATTTTCGTTTCCTCACCACATTTCTCTAGGTATTTCTGTTTCAATTTAAATTGATGAAAACCAGATAGCCAACGTAAATGAGCAACCACTAACTAGAGAACCCGGCGTAGTGGCAGGCGATACACAGGTTTAACACAACAGTTGTAAAGTATCATCATTACATTCTTACCGATGGCAGTCTGTTCACTAAGTGAATGAGTAACTGGACATATATCATTCCTGTAATAGTTACACTACAGTTAAACTGTCCAACAGACAAGATATGTAGTTCAGCCAGCACAGCGTCGAATCAAAAATTGGAAGGGTTCCAGTTGATCCATGATTACGGTCCATCTTACCACTTATATTTCAGTCGTCTCTCTGTGTAGATTCAAAGTTAACGAGCAAAAACTCAATTAACAGAAATTTCTCTGGTCTCAGATCAATTCTAGGAAACATCTATAGGGAATTCCTTGTAATCTACATTCATACAGTGTGCTAGTCAATCGACAGCACAACCTATTTCAGTCCCATTAACCAACATTACATATAGATGTATTCAGTGCACATATATGTATTTTTATGGGATGCTGCAGAGCATGCATATAAAAATGGCATTCAAAGTCACATATTCATGATAAATGTATACTTTTAAAAACCAAAAACTACTAATCCTGTGTATGCTGCTGCGACAACTGAGTGAAACGAAAATTAACTATGCTGAGAAGTACTTCAACCACCTCCTAAGATCACTATTGAAGTGTATTACATAACAGTCAAGTTAATTGTGACACTGTAGAACTGACTGATAAAGTTCGATGAGCACTGAAGACTGGAAACCATGAAATCGATTGCTTTCCAGTGACATCTCTATTTGAAGCGATGACTGACGTATGTTCGGATCCCTGAGAGGATATCAGTTCCCTTACAGTTGCAGAATATCCCACACTGACGAGTGCTAACAACCAAGAACTGGTTTCTCTCTGATGCTTCCAACCACCTAACAAAATAATTTCTCGAAAATTGGATTGTTATGCAATAGATTTAGGTTGTAAGTCCACTACCTATCACCAGAAAAACAAAGGGGTTTGCAAATGTGAACCAAGGGGATTGATTTATCTGGATAACTTAACGTTCTGTCTCCTTTTTCTACGCTACCTTTCTTATTCTCTTTTGGCCTTATGCCAAGCTGATTCTAGCACTCTATACTTTAGTCGCTGATTCTGTTGTATGCACTAGCGACTCCTTTTCATGCTTCTTAACTCAGGAACAGCTTTACGACACCATTGTTTATATTCAAAGGAATGGATGTCTGTCTACTGATTTTTATTTATCATGTGCATATTTTAAGTCATGCTGTTTGATATGCATATTACGTACTAATGTCGATTGTTTGCCATACCAGATGTATGCAGATCGCATGTTTGATTTCGGTAACCTTGAAAAAATATTCAATCACTTATCAGCCTGTTTTGTGAATTTCAAGGTGACTTTCATCACATGTTGATATCAGGTGAACGAATAATGAAAGGTGTGGATTCATGGACGGTTACTTCATCCGATTCTTATATTAATTAGCAGTACATAGCTTCCAGCCTACTTTGAACCGAATGCAAGACCAAAAATCCGCAACTGAAAATGACGTGGGAATAAATTTTCATATCCTGATAAGACTTCGAGATGTTGTAGCCTAGGTGATTATAACTGTGATGACAATAGCAGGCATTACATCAAACAATAAGCATGCATGTAACATATGTTGGTTGGTATTATTCAGTGATCTTGGTAATTTTACTGTTGTTACACCGGACCGAATTGATCGACCTCTATTGGTATATGGGCTTCTATACCGAAGTTTGGATATTGTCTGAATATTAAATATGTTATAATTTACTTGGTGGTGGCTAGCAGTGTAATCCAGGACACACGTTTCGCCCTATTCGGGACTCGTCAGCTACATTTGCCTGCTTCATAGTAAGTGATGATGTTTTCATTGGAACTAGAGCCCATCACCCTTCGCTTCAAGTGCCAGAGCGTTATGCGAAAATGCGCATCTTGGATCCCACTGCTAACTAACACCTAGCAAATTGCAACATGCGTTAGTCGAGTTTGAAAATCTCAGATGATTAACTGTACCTAGTGGTTCAGTGCCAAAATAAGCGTACCATGACATCACGATGTCGACTTCGGCCCTAGAGTCGATCATGCACGCACACCAGAATAAGATGTAGCAACCATTCAATCTTCTCTGTTTCCTTTCACTTGATCTTCTCCTTGATACTGAATTATTGTGGCACCGAAAATCAAGGTAATTCTTAACAAAGGCTTAGTATTATAATTTACCTGGCTGTGGCTAGCAGAAGAATCTAGGACGTGCTTTTCGCCCTATTTGGTACTCGTCATCTGGATGTACGTGCCTCCCCCCCCCCCCCCGGTGAGTGATGTGTACCCATCTTATAAGTCCCAAATAAGATGAAACGCGCGTCTTGGATTCCCCTTCTAGCCCCAACCAAGTGAATTAGCATGATAAACATTTAAGTAATATTGAGGCATTCGCATAGGAGACCATATGCCACTAGTGGTCGAAAAATCGATCCAGTAAAACATTTGAGAACTGCAATCATATCAACAAATAGTAAGGTTTACTATACTATACTTGGTACCATAGAGCTTTCTATAACTGTATCACTCTAGTTTGAAGGATCATTAAGGAAACAGACTGATACATAATCTTGCATAATTATGCACCAGTTCAAATTATCACTTCATGACAGACCTAATCAGTCAGTCAGCATCAATTTAGAATCTGGCATTACTGCATAATGTTTAAATTTGCCACACCTCATATCAGCATATCAACCTAGAAGGCTTTAACATGAAAGATGGATAAATAAGGAACGAGTTTGCCAAAACTAATAGAAAGTCGTAAAAAGTGAACGAGAAGAGACGGAGCAATATCCAAATTCGCGATGACGACTAAAATGAAGATAATGTGCAGATGCATCTTCGCCAATGATATCTATTCTAAGAAATCTCGCCTATATTTCCCACTCATCGATCCCGATTACCACATGAACCCCAACCGAAAAGTCTAAATTTCCTTACATAGCTCAAAGCAAAACTCAGAGACTTCATAGACAGGAGACATGCCATTACAGAACACATATACTGATATTGAAATAGAAAACAATGACGTAACAGGTGAGAATAAATAAATAGTGGTAAGGAGAATGTACAAAATGTGAATGATAAGGAGAGAATACACCTGTATCAATGTAGCTTATTCGTCATTTTATCTTACCTATGGTCTGTATCCACCAATTTTGGGCATTTTAACTTCAACATGTTGGCTGACACTACTCTAAGTAGATGAGACCGATAGTTAGAGACGGTCTTGATCGGTCTCATCACTCTTAGCTTTCTTCCAACATAAAACGGACTGTACCCTGACACATGTTACTGTTATGAAACCAGTATAATGATGGCTCGAGGTTACGGTCGAATGACAGTTATTTGATAAGCTGGCGTTAGCTAACGTCTCTGACCGTAGCACTATGTGGCATGGGTCTGAATTTCAGGTGGGACATCAGTTCCGCTTTGCTAAGGAGTACCAAAAACACGAAACCTAGGACTAAGCCTTCCTGTCGATTGCCTCCATCCAACTAACACTTTTGTTTATCGTTACCACCAAGATATATGGCTCATTGGCTTAAACAACTGACTTTCAATCAACTAATCTCAGGTTCAAACTGTATGCAACTAGCTAGTGGTCGGGCAAATGGATAGCATCATAATCGCTCACATGATACATGAGACTCGTAGCCTAGCTAGTAATTTAACACATGTACTTAGTTTAGTTGTGTTGAATAACTGTCATTGTTTATTAACTTATTCAGTGAAACGAGGACGAAATTGTAATTTGGTACGAACCATATGCTGACATAGGTAGTCTAACTCTGCGTGTGCCGGTGTCATGGTCATCTGAGTTTAATCATGGTGCAATTTGTGGTGTTTGAGTCTGGATGTGATGTGTGACCCGTTCTGAAGACCATGTCAGGAGGGGAGTTCGACTGGGGCGGTACATCCGTCAAATGATAACACGCTGGTCACCCAATCAGTTATTATTTAGTTGAAAGTGCAGTCACATCAGAATCATGTAAATAATTTTCTGTGGATTAATTTAGCAGTGCAAAATATTGATGGAAAAAACAAAAAAAGAGCATTCGAAAAAATATGAATGAATCTCAGTATAGAGGTATATCCATTCGATAGCATTCGAAGCTGAAAGCCAAAGGTTTGAATTTCGTCAAAATCTTAGTTTTTGTTCCAACCAGAACCACCACCACTCTCAATTAAACTAAAACTGTCTGATTTATGAATTCAGAAGGTGTGCAGGAAAACTAAATCATGAGTGCTAACCAGTGTCTTATAAAGAAAACTGGTTCTGTTTCATCTATTTTGTTATTATAGTAAGTGCATTAGCTGAACAGTGGTGCGTTACCAATTCTATGTTGTCTAGTCTTGAGTGCTTATCAAGTTTCATTGATCATTTTGCAATGTGGTCACCAAACTAGGTCAATCGGTAGAAAGCCCTGCTTAAGTATCCCAGCTAGGATAATTGGATCAAATTTTATATACATTTTCTAATGATCATACAACTACTAACATTGATTGTAATTCCTGAGACCAATAGTTCTCAATGCGTTGAAAGTTCCAGACTGCTGTATTAATTTAATTTTCACTGATCAAATCAACCATAACTCATTATCTAACGCTAATTTTGAAATACAGATGTCTGATGTAGTAAACAGCGTCTTCCGACGAATATTTTCGCGTTAATTTGAAGTTAAAATTGGTCCTGTAGTTCACTACTAATATGATTATCTCTCTTCTCCGGTTATTGAACTGCTGGATAACAAGGGAAGAGATCTACTTTTACGCATAATTTTGTAATAACTTTTCGTTGAATTAAGATATGTAAATTAGTCATCGTTTTCCTATCCACTCTTCGTTTCCGGCTTCGAGTCTCAACGGGAACTATACTACCCACTGGGTTGCAAGCACATCCAGCTGATGAGCCCCAAATAGAAGGAAACGCATGTACTGGATTCCGCCATTAGCCACCATCAAGCAAATCGCATCACTAAGATAGTTAGATCGAGCTGCAGATCTTCCTGCTGGCTAAATTACTAACCACCTTTCCATTTGTCCCCATTCCTTCAGACTATACAGTGACAATAGTTGGTCATTACACCTTATTGTTTATAATACTGTTATTAGTAATATTACTGAGATGCTATAATACTTCATTCGAAAATACTATTCAAGGAGTGAATTCGTTGAAATATTAAATGCTGAGAACTTCATTACTGTACCATCTACATCATCTGGAACAAGGTGATTATTATTATGATTATGAGTACCTAGATTTCAGTAATTTCTCTTGATCACAGTTTTAATTTCGTTGAAAGTTGTTTCTTCCTCTTTATTTGACAATAAGATGGATGATTTGACAAGAGAGAAGACAAACAAAATCCTGCGGAATTTGAATTACGCTTTGCCTTTAATTTTAAATATGTCCACGACCTATTTATTTTTCGTAATAACTTCATTATTTATCAGAATGACTAGTTTAGTTAAAGCTGGATGGATTACAGTGTTTTTCTTTTTCCGTTTCACACTTTAGGAAATCGATTTTTGTCAAAAACTATCAGTTCCAATTTTGGGTGTCGTCGAAAATATGACGGAGTTTGTATGCCCATCGTGTAAACACTCATCCGCAGTGTTTCCGCCTACCACTGGTGGTGCAAACTCACTATGCACTAAAAATTACAATGGAGGTGATAATACAATGTCATCATCATCAGATCTCGAGATAATTGGTCGTTTGCCACTCGATCCACGAATAACCAGGGCTCTTGATGAAGGTTTGTGTCCATTTGAACTGGCCGAGTTAAATTCTTCCGTCGGTGAACAGTCTCATGGTCAGTTATTTTATTTTCTATTTTTGTATCTGTCTATTCACATCCAAGAGATGGTTGTTTAAACTGACTTTCACTGTAATTGGTTTAAGCGATTTTGAATTTTCACTTTTTACCGACACCTTTGTAAATACACAATGATAATTATCTAAAACCTTCATATGCTGCAACACAACACTGTAATTTTAGAAGAAACTATGAAATTGACTAGCTTTGTTTCCTCCTTCTGGTGATTCTTTTTCTTAGAGTTTGTAGACTTTCTCGCTGATACTTTGACCCCATGGATATCACTTTAAATGTAGAACCTCTATCCAATAGGATTCTTAGTTGTGACAACCGCATTTCATCCCTCAAAGTTTTCACCGCCAATAAGGTTTATCATCTCAGTTTCAAATTGCTGTATGAACACAAGATGGTTTTATGCGATTCAGGTGCTGACCAAAATAACAAGTTTCATCGAGCATACTAATTATTGGTGGCTAGCAATCAAGTCTAGGACACGTGCATTTTGTGACTAGGTGTTTGCATGTAATTCCAGCTTAGTGATTGCTTAAGTTCAAAAGAAGGATAAGAAATCCCAAAACACTGGATAGCTGTTTCGTCCTATTATGCCACTCCTCAACAGTGCGCACCTACAACCCCATCAGGGGTCGAACTCAGGACTTTCGGGCCTCTCAGCGAACCCTTTAACCATTCAGCCACTAGGTTGGAGTCCGACGGTTCACAGCTTCCTATTTTTATCAACTTTAGAACTGCTTTCTTAAGTAACCACTGTAATCGGTAAGTAATTCGCCAAATCCTTTATTACTTTCATTTCGCACAATGATCTTTAAACTGTTTACTGAAATAATTCCAGACAAATTTACTGGTTTATAAAATAAACAAAAGCTGTTCTTAGGAGGAAGAAACAAAGATTAACATTACAATTGACATCTGTGCCTTACGTTTGGCTGTTAGCCAAATTTCTTTCTTCTATGATTTAAGCTTTTGTTAGTGTTCTACTTCTCTTCCCCACCTCAAAACTCGTGGTTGGATAGTTTCTTTTCTGTTTCTGACTTTTCTGTGTTGGCCTTCTTTAACCGATTTCGAAACTTCCTATTGTGACATTTTGTTTACACACCTTATGAAAATTATCTTCTTTTTGATACATAGCATTTGTGTGTTTTTAAACAACATAGTAGCGGTATATGTGAATGGTAATACTATACTGTCTTTGTTAGATCCAATTGGAATCTGTTGTAAGTGTTATGCACTATAGCGTGGAAATAAAACTGAGATATATCCTACTTAGAGTTGCACAATTATAGATGATCACCACAACCAGCTCATGTGAATTCCATGTCTACTGACAATACTAACTATATCAGTACGGGGTACTATGGTTCACACATAGACTACTGAGAATAATAATGATGGAGATTTCTAGTCTTAGTTTTTCCATTGACGGTATCGTCTCGATAGGATAGTGGAGTATGTTCCTTATATGAAGACTGTCGACAAGAAACATGGACTCTAGGCTTTGTGTTTCTTGGTACTCATCGTCAGCAAGACGTGCCGTTAACTTTCAGAATACTTATGTTCGCCCAGAGATTTGAATCTGAGTCACAGTGCTAAAGTTAGAGAACTTATCAATAAACTGTTCGAGTCATGACTGGTGCTCTTTAAAACTGAGTTATCTAGACAAATCGGTTCCCGATTAGTGTACACATTTACTCCTAATTGTCTGATTGAATAATATTGATCTAGTTTTCAATGTTTTAGCCAATATAAATGAAACGTCAAACTCTCTAGTTTACCGAAGTGAAAGTCCATACCTTTTTTGATGAAGTTAAGCGGTACAATACTAATATTTCCAATAAAATTCTGTTTTTGTTTTTTTTTCCTACTTGTAAATTAAGGAGTACTCATGTGTTTTGCACATCAATAATTTCCAGTACTTTTCTGTCTGACACGCTCACAGATTTCTCAGAGTTTGTTCTTATTCATCCCATTATAAATAGGTAATCTTTATCTTCTATACAAACTAGTTGTTTTTGATTAAATCTTCACTGAAAACAGTGAACAAAGATGATAGATGAGTGAATGTAAACTGAATAGTTTCCCAGTGGAAAAAACTGACTGTTACCCAACATTCTCAATGTAAGCTTCAAAAGCACTACAATAGTTATTAACTATTGAGTATTGTAAGATACCTACCTTGCTGACGAGTACCAACAAGCATGTCGCTATTTCACTCTCTTCTCTCCAGTCTTTTCAACCTGGCTCCACGACTGCCCACAAGCTTTCATTTCTTCCTCACACCATCTCCTCCATGTCACCCTCACCTTGGACACCCAACTCGTCGTTTCCCCTTTGGCTTCCACTCGACGACCTGGCCTGGCGCGTGACGTCCCCAATCAGTCTTCTCAGTGTATGCACAATCCAATCCCATCGAATCCATCTCCACTTTCTTCTGTACATTTGTTGGACGATGGGTTCTTACTTCGTCAGTTCGTTGCCAGCCAGTCATCCAGTAAGCTAGACAGAGTTCTTTGTTGCTTATTCTTTCTGGCCATCCATCTGATCTTCAGTATGGAGTGGGTGTAGGCGGCAGCTGTTGATGACGTATGTCTGTAGTTTGTTGGAAATGCTTTTCGTGACGCACCAAGTTTCTGAACCATATATATATATTAAGGAGTGCACTTTCTGTAGTGGCTTATGTGCCATTGTGATGATTGTTTGTTTCTTTGAGGAAAGAAAATAACTTACATTTTGTCAGCATGATAGTGCATAATATGTGTATTAAGCGGCTACTTCAAAGCAAGAATAGTATTTATGTCACTTTCCACAAGAATATAAAGTAATAATACTACCAGTCAGTAATTACATGAAAATTTGTGTTTAAACCTCATTTGTCTTATGACACAACTGTAGTTGTAATCATATTCTTCAACTGGTTAGGATATGTACTTTTCATTCAAATTTTTCAACTACTGACTCGTAGCATCGAATGATGGGAACGCCTTATCATCTTTTCACTAGTCTTTTAATCTCTTTTTCTGCTTCTTCTGGCTGTAGTTCATTGGTCCAGGTAATCGACTTTCAACTGCTGGATTAAAATTTCGAAACCCACTTCACCTATCGAGGTTTAGACTACCAAATAGTTCTATAAACTCTTACATAGTATGTCAGGTTCTTTGTCCAGCGCACAAACCTTCACATAGTAACCCAACTATACTTTTTTCTATTTAGAATTATTATTGTTACTTCTATTCTTTTATTCTTCCTTATTTTGATCCCCCCCCCCCCTCATTGTACTGGTGTGGAGTATGGTAACTTTAGGAAGCCCTAAATCACCAAAGCCTTTCACAACCAATCGTAATGCTTCAAATTTTTGACAGAAAGTACATGAAACTATGTATAATTACCAAACTGATTGAAGCGCCTTGAAATAGTCAAGGCCACTAAATATACATGCACCGTTTTATTTTGTATTTATTTTGACTTTGCGATGCATGAAATCTTAGGGTTACTGTTAAATCCCCCACTCTTATATACATATAACTAGGTTATATCGCCTAGATAACTAGTTCACTAATTACTAGCCGTCCTAAGTCCAGATAAGCAGGGAACGTTGGGCATAGGACTAGCAACCCAACCCCATAAAACCAATCTAATCGCTAAAGAAACTGTCAAACAAAAACAAACTTATTCCTCTCTGGAATCGGACAGACGAAATGACGACGGTTGGTGATAGCCTTCGGGAAGCCACTTCGCCAATGTGTCTTCACTCTCCCCATGAAAGCAAAAGCAAACATGGGGACATGGAATGTCTACACAATGTTTGAAGCTGGCTGGCAGGATTGCCCAGATTGCAAAACAAATGAGAAGGTGTAGCATATAAATGCTAGGAATCTACGAGGAGTCTGTAAAAAATAGATGGGATGGAAGTGGACTCTACAAAATGTCAACTGGACACTCAATAATCTACTCCAATATTGTCACCCAGGCGACAACCACGAACGAGCACACTGCGTTTTCGAGTGGCTATCATCATGTCCCCACCCCACCCCACCCCACCACCACCACCACCAAGAGCATCGAAGACTCTCTCTCTCTCTCCCTCATGCAGTGGGAACCAATCTCCTCCTGCTGGATCATGATCACGATCGGGATAAGGATCAAGTTAAGCATCATGACAGCAAGATTCAAATCACAAAGAAGGAAAGTCATAATCATACAATGCTACGCTGTGCTATGCTATGCTATGCTATTGCACCTACAAATAATCAGGGAGATGAAGAGGAGAAGGAGGGATTCTGTGGACAACTGGAATCACTACTCGACAAGACCACACACCAGTTGGCGACATCGAAATCCATTCCAATGCAATGAGTGGGGTGGGGCGACATGTTTTAATGAGCAACTGGGAGCGGACAACACAGGAAGAGAAGTGATCATGGTGTGGGTGGAGAAGCAGTCGGTGAATTGATGAACGAGAATGGAGAACAGTTTGCAGACTTGTGTGCATTCAACGATTTGGTGATTGGGGGCTAGGCAGTATGTACAAGCGCAAGGATATTCACTAAGCGACATGGATTTCACCAGTTTATATTATAATATCAGTTCTCTTATTAAATTTCTAATCATTATGATACTGGCAACCACTTTTAATCCCCCACTAATGTTGATTTTAGACAACTGATTACTCTGCCTCGACATTAAACACATAAGAATAAGCATATGTTGGAATTGATACAGTAAGTCACACCTACCGAAGCGCACATTTTATAATTACCAAAGCATCATTATGCAACCTATGACAAGTATTTAAGCCTTCTTAGAAGATCCTTCAACAACATGAAGTGGTTACAAGGTTATGATTATAGATGTCTTCGCAGTATTGCTCATGTTTGATGAAATCACCGTGTGAACAATGTTGAGGTTACTAAGGGTACTAAGCAACGTAGGCGAGTCGACCAGTGTGGTTGTGAAACTTCATGGGCTGAGATGGCTTGGACATGTACTGGGTATGTCGAGTCACCGCCTTCCTCGACGTGCCATACTAAGCGCGGAGTTGGACTAGGTTGAAAGAGGTCCATAGTGCTCAGACCTGCCACTTGGCTGTTGTTTCAAGTCGTGTGGGGAGATGAAGACTACCTGGTTGGGTTTCCCGAGATGAAAGGAATCAGTGATTGAGGACTCCTGGTGACATGGTTGTAGATCGGTCGCAGTGGTGTAGATGTATCCACTATTTGACGTCTTCTAAAGCTTGAATGGTCGCACTAGCCGTTATCTTCAGATTGCTTATTCTCTCACACAACTTTCTATTTCTACTTTTTCTAAACACCTGTTCTTTCTATACTACTATGAAGTGTAACAGTTTGAACCAATGCACTTGTGTGCGAGGTTCTACATTGATTTTATCTGTCTGTCTGTCTTTTACGACTGATGATAGTTGATACAAGATGACTGGTAGTAATGTTAACAACCCAATTCTGTTTTCTAATACATGGCGGTTAGCCATTACATAATAATTTTGTGAACTAATTGTATAAAATGTGAGGCAATGTCTTTATGTTTTAATCCAAACCCCAACTTCAATATTTTATCTTTTGACAAGTTTTAAGCAGTATAAGTAAACTCTGTGTTTTCCACTTCTAGCCAGTATCAGAATAAAATGTGAATCAATTGATGCAACTTGGTTAATGAATATGTATTCAATAATTTTAAGGACTCAAGCATTTCGATATGTCTCTTCTATTCCCATTACTCGGTAATGCTTGAAAGTAATGAAATAAAGTAAAACTGAAGACCAATCGTAGGATATCTATTTTCCTTGTAATTTTTTTCACTCATCAATGAAACTGACTTACTGACCTTGTTTTGACCTTACACTATTTTCGTTATTTTATTTATGTTCATGTTTGCACAGATTTAATCGATGGACTCAAGTCTTCTGATACAGTTATTATTGCATTTCAGGATTTGTTCAGTAATCTACTTAAAAAGCTCCATGCTTAACTACACTACTTCCTCTTTGCTAGAAATCAACTCCACATTGAAAACCGCTTCTGCTTGATGTATAGTATTTGTCTACTTTTTCCGTGTTTGTCTAAGAGTTAGAAAAATGTTTTGGTTTTCAACCTTCCTCTCGATTTCGATTGACCAACATCATTTTTAGCTCATATGTGTAGATAATCTTCTCTTCATTCCTGTCAAATTGTTGTTTACCATACCTTTCTTGGTCAAAATATATTTCCTATTAACTGGTGATTAGTTTCCTTTTCTTTGCTCTTACCTATCTAATTAAAAAGTTGGGTTTTCTGTGTAGATACAACTCTGCATAGAATCTGTTGTTGCATATCCAATTCAGTTAATTTATTTACTAACCCATTGACTTTTGATTATACTTTTGGTGGAAATGAATTTAAGTGGTATACAGTGCAGTATCTTCAATAAAAGTCACAAAAGCAGGCAGTCAACCGGTAGATGTTCTGGAACACGAACCGGGATTGACTACTTAGCAGTACTGGAGGCAAGAAGACGAATACGAATGATCTCTGCAAGAAAGAGATATATATACGGCTGTAATATTTTATCAATACTGAGTATAATTTACTGAATAAAAACTGTGCTTCATTTTCCTCACTACTGTCAGTCTCATCGGTGAATAACTGAAGAAGAGAAGTAATGTAAGATGGTACAAATGCGCAACTCAAAAGTTAGTACACTTTATCAACCTCTCCAAGCTGCAATTAGAAATAGGATATAAGTGGATAGCTGCTTATGGACACTTACACGACTGTTTCTAGAACAGTGTGCCCAATGCTAAGGAGTCCCTCACGAGGACGAAACATCTATCCAGTCCCTCCAGGTTTCCAATGTTTCTCCAACTGATGTCAGTCCTGGATGAATACCAACTTGAAGTCAATAAATAAATCCCCATAAACCTCCAAATTGAATAATGTTTCAGTCACTCACAAACGACAATGCTCATTTAACCGATGCACAGTTCACGAATTTCGATCTGATGCCGTGATATATCATTCCGTATTATTTCTGCCCTTTTGAGATATTTATTCGCCAAAACTACGTCAAACATAACCTTGTCACCTCAATCTAGAGGCTTTGATAAATGAAATGATCTGTAACATCCTCGCTGAATTTCCCACTTTCTGGACTGTTTGTTCAGGGAAGTACGACAGTGCTTCAGTATGGATCTGTCAGTAGCAGACTTGAAATCAAGAGATTTCAACAAAGAAACTATTCATGATGGTGATCATAGTTAAGAGGTCATCACACAAATTCAGTTCACGGATTTTATAAGGCTTACACGTGTTTTGCATATTCTTTTGGACATAGTAGTTCAAATGGTATGGTTAACAATCAGTTTGAAACACAAAATCAAGTGTATGAGAAACGCACAGTCCGTGATAAGAAATTTCACCATTGTTCCATGTAGAAACCAAAATATCTAGATCACACAATGCTATCTACTTGACATCACAATCGGCATCAAGATTGCGAGCATAAAAGCTATACGAAATATCCCAACGACTGACATCATTAGTTGTATACTACTCACAGCAATCCAATCTGATGAGCAGCGCTTATATGATTCTGCGTATGACCAGTCAGTTCAAGTAGTTAGCAGGCGGTTCGAATGATTCAAACTTCTGAGCTGAATCAGTCTGGAACCACCGCTGATGATTTCGATCTCAAACCAGCGGAATGACTGTCCGATATTAACATCACTTCGATCTGACTAGCGAGAACTGCTGATCAACGTGAGTGGTTTATAATAACTAAAACCGGTCTGTAGCATATTTCGTAAACTCGGACATACAACAACTATCGTTTATATCCCCATGGAAACACAATATCAGTATATTTGAGGATTTCAAAATTCATGAGATATGGAAGGCTACATTAAAATCACTGCTTTCTTATATTCTGAATCATACATGAGATTTTGAACTATTCAGTCGCACAATCTGTCAAATCTTAGCCTCCTATCCTTGATAAACTGACAGTTTGTGATTCGACACGACTATCTTTCATTCCATGTTAGCGTTTTATAAGTTAACCTCACCTTGTCGCATCATCACTTGCGATTGCTACACATCTTCACAGTAAGTTTGCATTACAGCTACTGCCACATTACATGAGAAATTTTTTAACGATGCGCATTTGTGATTCAGTTTCGACCATACTTTAATTTACTCTAAATCAACTGTATGGCTTTGAAAGATGGCGATTAGAAAACGTGGTAAGGTTTGTGGTGTTTGACCACGGCTACCTTCAAAGCATAGGCCGCATGTCGTGGTGTCACTATGTCAGTAACTCATAAGTCAGGTGTAGAGGGAATTCAGTTGATGCGGTTGTGAATCTTCATCGACTGAGATCTCTGGGACATGTGTTTCGCTTGCCTAGCCATCGTCGTGTAATGTTAGCTGAAGTGGGTTCAAGCTGGAAAAAGCTAGGGTGGCTAGACTAAAATATGGTATCGATGTATGAAGTCCTTGACTGTTGGTCTGAGCCGTATAGGGAGATGCAGACTAGCCGGTCAGAGTCCATGTGACAACAGAAACCGGTGGTTGGAGAATCTAGGTGATATGGCTCAGAATCAATGTCATTAGTGCAGATGTATCCACACTTGATCTTCATCTTAACCACTATATTGAATTCAACATCCCATTCCTCCTCTCTCTATCCTACCTCTTTGTACTGCCTTCAACCTACAGTTAATAACGGGACATTTTCATCACTTACATTGGTAACCTAGGGCACTTGATTGGGGCTACTCACCTCTCCGTTTGATCATTTTGATAAGTTGTCTAACGAAATTTGTTCCATAAGCACTGTGGGATGAACCAATCCACATATGAGTTTGATTTTCTTATCGGCTGACCTAACAACATTTGTAGGAGTGTTAATAAACAAACAACGTGAAGCCAACTTTTATTCAAAGAAAATGCTTACTGTGAAATTTGAGCACATTGTTTGACATGTCATTCTGACATCGATGTCTAAAGTCAGCAAAATACTTGAACGGATCTACCTTCCTATCTCAGTATTCACCCATTGAAGAATGTTGACAGTGATCAACTTCATATGGAAGGCTATTGAATTCATTCTTCTGTTTTGTGGTTTAATCACAATGGACTACATAACAGATAGGAAGACAAAAGTCAAAGTGCAGTCTGGCACACAAGCTCATCCGTTCAAGTTGTCACACTTCACACCAACATTCAAAGTACAAGTGGATAGAAAAAGAGTGATATCACACTAGACAAAGGAGTATGAGAGGAGAAGAAATTAGGAAATGAAGCTTAGTGTGAATATTCAAGCTTGAGAAAACGTTGAAGTGTGAATGCATCTGAAACATTGTGATCGATTTCCAGCCAAGTCACAGTAAGCATCTTCAACCACATATTCGGATAATCTTCAGGTTTCGCATCAAGTAATTTACACTTTCGTACACACGTGAGATGAAGAGTCAGAGAGAGAGGGAGAGAGAGGAGAGAGAGGGAGTTGGTGGATTGGTGCCACATCTTGGTCTGGTCACTCTGTGCTGTCTTCCAATCCAATCACAATCACGTAAAAGTAGACGATGGCTCGCAACATGCAACACATTTCCTAGCCACCTCAGTCGTCAGAGG